ACACACACACACACACTGACACACACACACACACACACACTCAAACATACAAAAGAACCAGCTCCCAACGTTGTACCGGGAGCTCACATCGGGGCCTCGGGCTAAAGGTGTTGGCCTGCAATTCAAAGGTCACGGGTCGAATCCGGGTAGCGACGGAAAACATTTCTTTACTAAAATTGTCTCCTTTCCTGCTCTCTTGTAATGTTCTGTCGTCTGCTTTCGTCTCCTCTTTCTGCCCCCTCCACCTCACTCCCTGTGCCCCCTCCTCTGGGTTCCTGACTCTTTCTGCAGCCTTTCTACTGCTACTCCTTGGTTCCTTCTTACTGCTGTCTTTCAGCCACACCCCTGATCTTCTGGTAGGAAAGATCTACACCTAACATTTTCGGACAAGAGCGAACAATCTCGGATGGCCCAATGGAAGTTGCGCACGTTAAAGACCCCTTGGTGGTCTAAAATCGATAAGAGCAGGCTCGGCCGCCACCCGGGCAAAATTCAAAATTTCCTACCAACTGAAAAAATTTAATGTGTTCCGCGCGCTCATATGACTTTATGCAGTTGCCATACTGATGGACAATTCTGAACATGGGGGCTGTTTTAGGGAATTTCTTAATAAAGCTTTTCGCCCTTAAGACTGTCCTATCGGAGACTGATGTTTAACTCGGAGGCCCCGCCTTTTAATCAACCCTACAGTGTTGAAACGAGCGTTGAACCTATTCAATTTCGCTTTTTTTGTGGTAAAAAGTAACTCCACACGAGACATGAATTGAGGTGTTTTATTTTCTTTCTTTCACAGGAAGGAGCCCAACTTCGGACTCACCCTTGAACGTATTACCAACCCTCTGGGTCCGCAGTGACCCACTCTAACCCCACTACCACCACCACCGCCACCATAGCAGTACCAACCACATCAACATGTCTACGTGTAACCTGGACTCATACACGTGCTCAGACGAGGGACTGCTCATGCCCTTCGTCAATGAGTACACATGGCTTGTGGAGGTCAGGGCCGTTATCTACTTATTGGGTTTGCTGTGGAGTTTTATGGGAGTCTCCATCATCGCTGATATCTTCATGCAGTCCATCGAGGTCATCACCAGGTGAGTCGTCTAAGTAGAAGAAACAAACAGGTAACTTACCCTTGTAGAGTGAAATGAATAAACAGGTGAGTCACCTTCGTAGAAGTATTCTTCGGGTGGTTCACCTTCGTAAACTATATACAAGGTGAGTTACCTTCGTACACTATACATGTATACCAGGTGAGTTACCTTCCTAGAATAAATCACCAGCTGATTGGAGTCACTTGTAGAATAAATCACAAAGTGAGTTACTTTCGTAGAAGAATTCATCAGGTGAATCACCTTCGCAGAATTATCACCGTGTGATTCGCCATCAGAGAGGACATTGCCTGTTGTCTATCTATCCTATCTATCTATCTATCTATCTATCTATCTATCTATCTATCTATCTATCTATCTATCTATCTATCTATCTATCTATCTGTCTGTCTA